TGGTTAACTGACTCTTTTCATAGCTTCATTCTCTTTTTTTCCTGATGGTTTCATCCATCAAGTCTCATTTGCCCTTTCCCCTGTATGAGTGATTGATTGTTTGTTTGTTGGTTAGACTAGTTTGTGTTAGTGTTTAGTTAATAAAACTCTTGTGCACAAATTACATGAGTTTCTGATTCTGCCTTGCAAATTAATGTCCCTTTACGATTCTGATCCTTGCTACATGCTCTTATGCATTATTAGGCTACTGTAAGAAGGTTGTTTTCTGTGGCCACGAAAATATCCTTTCTTAGAGTTGTTATGAAATTACACTAAATGTTCGCTTGAAGAACAGATTAGTAGATGGCAATTTAATTCTGCTACAGTTACTACTGGCAGCTCATATAAATAATTGTAATGAATCATAATTAATTGTAATTATTTATATACATTTCCCTTTTGAGCTAATTTGCTACACGTGTTTGGCCCATATTTGGTTTTCCTGTTCCTGTTCCCATTTGAGTTCCATTTGTTTCAGCTGTGTCCATTTAATCTCCTCGTTTAGTTCCAGGTGTTCCCCATTTAGTTCCTGTATTTAAGCCCTGTGTTTTCCTGAGTCCAGCGTTCAGTCTTAAATGTTTACCCTGTGTGCTACGTGTGTGGTACCTGTTATTTTGGTTTCATTAAAGAGTATTTCTGTTCTGGATCTCCTTCGTCTCCGCGCTCCTTCGTCTCCTCACAGTAGTGCACTGTGACAGAAGACTGAACCGTATACAAGATGACAGAGGCTGAGGACAGGCTGTGGTGATTGCGGCAGGCTGGTTGGAGGTTGGAGAGATATGTGGAGAAATTCCTTGAGCTCTCCAACCAGGTGAGCTGGCACGACACCGCTCTTAGTGCGTGTTTCCAGCTGGGGCTGGACGATGATATGATCTGCTGCGATCTCCCCACGTCTTATTTTCCCCTGATCGAGCTGATTGATGTCCTTTATTTAAACTGTTCCAATTTCCAAGTGGAAGAGGTAAAGGATCATTTAAAATCTCCTCGTCCAGCCCCCTCTGGAAAACGTTGTCTCCCCAGCTCACCCCATGCCAAGAACCCCCACATACCTCACCAACGGCTCAGACCACCTGTCCAACCCAAGTTACCCCCGGGTTCTCTGAAGCTCCTCCCTGGTCCTCATCCCAGAGCCACTGGCCGCTCCAAAGTCAAGCCCACCGGCCGCTCGGAAGCCCAGGCCGCTGCACTCTCAAGCCCGCCAGCTGCTCGGAAGTCAAGCCCGCCGTCCGCTACTCTCTCAAGCCCGCCGGCCGCCCAGCAGTCAAGCCCAGAGAAACGGACACCAGCTCATGTCCCCGAACTCCTGGATATGGCGCTTCCTCCTGAGTTCTCGGCCCCATCCTCTCTCCTGAGCCCGCTCCAGTGTCGGCTCCCCGAGCTGCCTGCTCCACCATGGCTCCCCAGACCGCCTGCTCCACCATGGCCTCCTGAGCTCCCTGTTCCAATAGTATGTTCCTGCACAACCGGAGGCTGCAGTTTCAGGATTCAATTTTTCTAGGATTTCTAGGACCCAATTTTTTTGTAAGGCGCCACCTACCAAATTGGATGATATAGTGGAGGCTGCAGTTTCAGGACCCTGGTGGTTTAGTTGTAGTAATGTTTGTACATGTTGTCAAAGATATTTCATCTCCGGAACTTTTTTTGAAATTTTAGTTGTGATTTGATTCCGAGGTTAATTGCAATATGTAATTGTAATATGCTTTGTCACAATTTTAAATTCAAACAAATTAATTTACACTTAAAATATAGAGTGAAAAATGTATTTTAATCTTTAAACAACTGAAAAAGTGGAGTACTTTAAGTCTTAGTTTCTTGAAATATACTGTATATTGATTAACCCCCTTAGGTTTAACTAATTAGCTTATTATCAGGTAAAATAAAGTTGGAATCAGCATTTGCAGTCATTAAATTACAGCCAGATAGTTTAAAGGTTGTAGAGAGGCAAGACAGAAGGCTCAAGAATGATTCAAGAATGTATATTTATTTATATACTCATTTTTGCAGTAACGCATAATACAACATCATAAAAAAGACAATATTTTCCATCAGTTGCTGCATGGACAAAGGCTGTAGGCTTTAACTCCTGAGAGAGATAAGAGAGAGAGGGAAAATTAAATAAGAGAAATTTGCTTTAAAGGTTCAACGCTGACCTCATACGTCATCAGCCCGGAACTGCTTTTGTGTACAACTGTTGGCACAAGCTAGATTAAAGTCTGAGCCCGCTCCAGTGTCGGCTCCCCGAGCTGCCTGCTCCACCATGGCTCCCCAGACCGCCTGCTCCACCATGGCCTCCTGAGCTCCCTGTTCCAATAGTATGTTCCTGCACAACCGGAGGCTGCAGTTTCAGGATTCAATTTTTCTAGGATTTCTAGGACCCAATTTTTTTGTAAGAGCGCCACCTACCAAATTGGATGATATAGTGGAGGCTGCAGTTTCAGGACCCTGGTGGTTTAGTTGTAGTAATGTTTGTACATGTTGTCAAAGATATTTCATCTCCGGAACTTTTTTTGAAATTTTAGTTGTGATTTGATTCCGAGGTTAATTGCAATATGTAATTGTAATATGCTTTGTCACAATTTTAAATTCAAACAAATTAATTTACACTTAAAATATAGAGTGAAAAATGTATTTTAATCTTTAAACAACTGAAAAAGTGGAGTACTTTAAGTGAACCAAACAGAATAATCATGTTACTGACATCTAACTCCAAACTCCGTAACACTTTCTATGAAGCCTGTATTTATAATAAATTATAAGGGTATTCTTAATGCATTATAATTAATGCATAAAGCATTATACAAAAAAACGTATATGTAAAATATAACATAAAATATGTTGTGTCATCTCATAAATAATCATAACAATTATAATACATTATAACACTTACGCATTTGGGGTTATAACATTTCAGAGTATGATTATGTAAAACACACAATGAATACCATAATAAATCCACTTAATTTATAATGGATTATTTCATATCTTGACATTGTTTATTTAAGAGGACAGTATCTTACTATATCTTGTGAGTGGTTAGGAGTGGTTGTGTTTTGAGTGTTTCCTGTGAGGTTAATGTTAATTTTGCTGTGAGCTAGTTTAAGATCAGTTGTAATACTTTCAAATGGAAAAAATGCGTGTTTTTTATTTATTTATTTATTAATTTTTTATTAATTGCATTTTATTTTGATGGTCCCTTTTAGTCTATTGACCGTAAGCAACTTTGCAACTACATGTTGTAATGTGGGGTTTGGTGTTTGCGTTTCATGTTCATGTTTTCCATGTCTTTTATTTTTGGAGTTTAGTCATTTGACCCTGTTTGTGTCATGCTTCCCTTGTCCTCTTGTATTCATGCCATTGGTTCCTCTGTTCATTGTGTCAAGTTCTGATTGGTTGTCTTAGTCATGCGTCTTGTTTCCCATTGGTTTGTTCATGTCATGTGACCCTCCTTGTCTGCTATAACTAGCCATCATGTTCCCATTGTGCCCTTGTCGTGTATTTGATGTTGTAACCTGCTGTCGGTGAGTCTAGTCTGTTCATGCCTCGTCAAGTCTGTGTCTCTAGCAGTGTTGCCAATTTCGCTACTTTGTAGCTAGATTTAGCGACTTCCCCGCCCCTTTTGAGACTTTTTTCAAAAGTTTAGGGACAAATATAGCATGATTGGTTGTCCTAGTCATGTGTCTTGTTTCCCATTGGTTTGTTCATGTCATGTGACCCTCCTTGTCTGCTATAACTAGCCATCATGTTCCCATTGTGCCCTTGTCGTGTATTTGATGTTGTAACCTGCTGTCGGTGAGTCTAGTCTGTTATGCCTCAAGTCTGTTCATGCCTCGTCAAGTCTGTGTCTCTAGCAGTGTTGCCAATTTTGCTACTTTGTAGCTAGATTTAGCGACTTCCCCGCCCCTTTTG